TTAAGACAACAGGAGTCAACATTTGCCTACAAGTCTGCAATTTGGGCAAAGGAGGACTCCTCAGTGGTCCAAATGTGTCTTCTAGGGCTGGAGAGCTCACAATTGCTTCACTCATGTTTGGTGCCTCAGCTGGGACACCTAGAACAGCTGGGAGGTGGTTGGACATCTCTCTCTCTTTCTCTCTCTCTTTCTCTCTCTCTCTCTCTCTCTCTCTCTCTCTGGCCCTTCCATGTAAAATAGCTTGGGGTTCCCCTGTGGGAGGATGGTATCAGGTCCAGATCTCTTCTATAGTGGCTGGCTTCTCCAGAGTACAAAATCAGAAGCTGCCAGGTCTTCTTAATGTCCTTGCTTAAAACATTCCATTCCATTGGTCACAGAGTAATTTCATTCAAATTCAAGAGAAGGGAATTCCAGAAGGATGTGAGTAGTGGGAGATAGAGCTCCCTGCGGGTTGCCAAAGAATCAGGCTACCCCCTGGCCTCTTCAATGCCTCCTTGAATCAACTTTCCTTCTGCTTACGAACCTTTCTTTCAATCTTATTCTCCTCAAAGAGTTATAACCTTCTCTCGTTTACACTTGATCACCATTTCTCGAAAATAAATCTTTCCTTTTGTTTCCAACAAGGTAACACTTCCCATTTACTCCTCAACTCACTGCAATCTGGCTTCCAATCTCATCACATTATTAACAACTCGCGGCAACTTTCTATTGTTAAATCTACACATTTCCTCTTTGTTCTCATTTTACTGTTTTTCTGAATCATTTACTTCAGTTGACCTTCTTGAAACTCCTTATTTGGTTTCTGAGATATTGTGTAGTTCTTCTCCAGACTTCCTCCTTCTTAATACTTTTCTCTAACTATTTCTCTTCCTCTGCATAAATGTAGGAGGCTTTTGCATCACCTCTACTCCCATGCCACGCAGTCTGTCACTAGGTTATCATAATTCTACCCTGGTAAAATCTAGAAACCACCCCCTCTCTCCATTCCCATTGCTCCTACACTGATGCAGAGCCTCACTTTCTCCTCATTAGCCAAATGCAAAAGTCTTCTATTTGATTTCCACACTCCAGATTCTGTCCCTTCCAATCTTACAAATTGGTATAATAAGAATTAGTTACCTTCCTTAAACAGAACAATCAATGCTCAAAAACTTTCCCCACATACCTATTGCCAATCAGGAAAAGTTTAGTCTCCTTGTCTTAGTTTGCCAAATTATAATTCTGGACTTGGACCATATTTTCAAATGCCACAGCAAATTTCCATAGACTAAGTTTTAGTCTCATGGGACATTTCACCATCTCTAAAGATGTCTTATGTTTTCCTCTCTCCATACGCTTCCTTCAGAAAATTATTCTTCATCATCTTTGCCATTGAAAAGTTCCTTATCCTGTAAGCTCACCTGAAAAGCTACATTTTCCACACACTTTTCAGAACAAATGTCTCTGCTTGCTTTATACCTATGGAATTTTGTTTAGGTATTGCTTTTAGTACATGTAAGTTATAATGGGTGATATTAGTGTTTCTCACTAGATCGTAAACTCCTTGAGACTAGAGACTCAGTAATCTCTGCATCTAGCACAGTTAATAAGAGCTTAAAATTGTTGACTTAATTGTATAAGCATTATGAAGTATTTATTGGTTTTTAAAATTTAGCCAAGGAGTTATATAAAATTAGAAATGTTTCCTTTAATACATGTGATTCAGTTACCAGCTTAGAACAAAGACTCTCTGTGGACAGGGTTGCTAAAATCCTGCCCAACTCAGATCACACAGTGGTATAAATATTAATTAATTCTAGAGGAGCTCTTAAAAATATTTGGAGTTTTCAAGTGAAACAACTTTGAATTTTCCCCTATTACCTGGATAATTGTGATAATTGCCTTACTTCACCATCCTGTTTTATGTTATCACTAGGCTTTTTCACTGACGGATGTTCATTGAAGCTTAATAACTCTCTGGAGATATGTGGCAATGACACTGCACTGTTGCTGGCAGCAGGCAGATATATAAACATTTTAATTAAGTGTGTAAAATAGTATGCAGATAAATATACACCGAATGGCGCAAGAAAATATCGGTATTTCATGTTACAAGAAGAAAATACTCAATTACTCCCAGTAACAACTGTAACAAAATTATATTGTGCCTGGTGAGCAGCAATTAAGGCTCTATCTCACTTGCCCAAAGAGATTAAGACACAGAGATCAATAAATCAATTCTATTTTTCTATCTTCCTATAATTTATTTAATATTCATTTCTCATCTATCTTTGTCTAACAATTTCCAATTTTTGCACATTAGACTGTTTAACCCACCCTTACAGCCCCTATCAAGTAGTTAATGGTCTAGAAACAAACACTAAAGAAGTTCCTGTTTTAAAGGAATCCTAGTGTGAGTACTTCTGCAAACTGAGTGATTAGATTCTGATTTGTACTTTGAAAAATCAACTTTGCATAAACAGTTCATGTATATACTTGCAATTTCTGATTATATTTGGTTCCAAAAATGGTTTGAAAGTTGATTACTAAAATATTGGAACAAAATTTTTCCATCCAACTCATCTTAGCCAACTTCCACAAAATGATACTTCTTAACTCTAATACTGGTGACCTGTAGCACATAAGCACCATTAATCAGTAGATCACTTTCAGAATCCTGGGACCAGAGAGCATTGGATGCCAATAGGAAGAAATATGAGAACGGAAAAGTTTCTCTTTTCAGTCCTTGCTGGTTGGTTCTAAGTAATACTTCAAAATTGCAAGATTTTCTATCAGTACTGTTCTACTCTCTACATTTATCTTTTTCTTTCCTATTCATTTCCATCCTCAGGCTCTTGCCTTAAGTTTCTCTTTTTATAGTCTGTTGCTTGAATGTCATTAAAAGGTGTATTTCAGGCTTCAAGATGACTTAAACAAACCCAACCTATCTCTTCCAAATTGCTCTGCCCTCCAGTTGGACTAAGAAGGTAGGAAGCAGGGAGGCTGGTGAAGAGAGGAGAGAGAGTGCCAATCTCAGAGAGAGAGAGAGAGAATCCTTATCTCTTAGAGACACACTCTCCAATATTATAGATGAAATAATATTTAGGTTTTGTTTCAAAATAATACAGGAGTAAGTTTGTGCATAGCAGAACAGATGAACAAAATTGCTAATTCTTAAAGCTGTTGATGGGTATATGAAGTCCACTGCAGTGTTAGCTCCACTTATATGTTTAAAAATTTCCCATCATAAAAATATTTTAAAAAATTCTCCAACTTGCATCTGTGTTTACGCACAGCCTCTTTCCTCCCTGGCGCAAAATTCCATGAGACTCATCTCCCATGCTCAGTCATGCCCCTCCGGCTTTTGGCGTCCCTCTCTCTACTCCACGGAAACTCCCGTCATCCCGAGTCCCTGTAATCTCCACCTTCCAAATCCAACCTTATGTTCTCATCTCACTCAACTTTTTAGGAGCATTTGACAGTAGTTTGACCGTTTTGGTTTCTGGTTCTCTCCCGGTCTCACAAGCTTCCTTTTATGTCACCAGCCTGTCTTCGGTTCCCCTCTGACTGTTAGAATGCCTCCAGGCTCCCTCTCAACATATCTTGCCAGGTCATCTCGCCATCTTACTCAATTCCACAATCTAAATGCTGATCTAAACGCTGATGATGCCCAACTTGGCATCACCCTTCCTATGCCCCAGCTTGCATGTCCAACTCGACTGCACTAGCTGGCAGAGATTGTAAAATTAGTAAGTGTGTAAAACTCCAGACCCTGCTTCCTCCCTTTGCCTACTCCCCTGGTCCACTCCATCTTCCCATCTTAATCAATGCATCACCATTCCCCCAGTCGTTCAGACAAAAAGTCTCAGTTATCTTTGATCTTTTCCCCCCTTACTGTGCACACTTAATCTGTCAGGAAGCCCTGTAAACTCTAATTTAAATGTATCCTAAGCCTGATGTCTTAGGTTGGGCTGCCATAAAAAAGATACCGTTGCTTGGGCGGCTTAAATGACAGAATTTTATTTTCTCATAGTCCTGGAGGCTGAGAAGTCCAAGATCAACTTGTTGACCAATTTGGTTTCTGGTGAGAGCTCTCTTCCTGGCTTACAGAAGACTACCTTCTCCCTGTGTCCTCATATAGCCAGGAAATGGAGAGAGCATTTCTGAGGACACTCATCCCAGTGAATCAAGGCCTCATCCTTACAACCTCACTTAGCTGTAATTACGTCCTTGGAGAACCTATCTTCAAATACAATGACAAGCAAGGATTTTGGGGGTGGATACAATTCAGCCCATGGCATCTGACCACAATGATTTCAAGGCTTTTACATTGTCCTCCTGCCTAGAACGTTCTTCTCTCCAACCGTCTCAGGCTAGCTCCTTTTTAACATTCAGATCTCAGGGAAATTGTCCCTTCTGAAAAAGTCCTTCCCTGATCACCCTGTCTAAAGAAGCCACATAAATCTGATTAACTCCAGTCACTGCTACCATTGTCCTAGCTTTATTTTCTTCCTAAGTCTTATTACTACCTGAAATAGCACACGTTTATTTGATCATCAAATACTTCCATCAGGAGCAGGGGCCTTGCCTGATCCGTTCTCCCTAGCATGCCCTGGGCCCAGAGCAAGGGATGCTTCAGAGGACGTGGTTAAACACTTAACAGCAGGATCATGCCAGTTTGGGTCATCTGAGCTCTAGTACCTATAGCAGTTCTAAGAGTAGTAGATACAAAATCAAAAAGTTGCTGACTAACTCAGTGATTTTTCAACCTTTTACATTTCATGGCACACAAGAACTACTTACTAAAATTCTGTGGCACATCAAAAAATGTATTTTGCCTATCTGACAAAAAAATAGGTATACTTTCAATTCATTCATACCAGATGGTTATTATTGTGTTGGCTGTTGTTATTTTTTAGTTTGACAATTTAAGAGAAAATAGGTCAGTGCCCCTGACTAAATAGTCAGACATTGCATGGTTTAAAATTCTTGCAGCGCACCGATTGAAAATCACTGAACTAGTGCTCGCTTCGGCAGCACACACACCGAAAGTGGAGTGATATGGGGTAGATCAGCATGGACCCTGCACAAGGATGACACACAAATTTGTGAAGCCATTTCATATTTTAAAAATAAAATCACAGGACTAAATGAATGAATGAGTCAATGTACCTTTGAATTATGTCTCCACCTTAATTTTCTCCAAAGTTGTGATCTGTACAGTCCTCACTGAAATACTCATTTTTTCCTCCCTTTCTTAATGGATGTATAAGTTCCAGATTCCTCGATATTCCCAACAATACTAAAGATGATTTAAAGAGTAAATAACTAGAAGCGTACATTAAAATTATAAGAACTTATGATCTTCTAATAATCACTATATTCAATTAGCCATGTGCTCTAAATTATTTTTATTTCTCTAATACTAAGATTGAAAAGTGGGACCTACAGTACTTATAACAAAATAAAAATTGAAAAAGTTGTACTGTTCAATTTTTCCTCTACTTTTCTTCTTTATACCTACACAGTTACACCCACAAATGCATGCATATATATGAACAATTACTTTTTTCTAATTAAAAAACCAAGATTGTTCTATATACATATTAGTTCATAACTCATTTTCTCACATAGCAGTATGCCCTGGTTATTTGTTCTGGGTTAATAAATCTATTCTGTTCTTTTCATTTACTTTTTTAGTTGCATTTTTTTAAAATATTTTATTTATTTATTTTTAGAGAGAGTGGAAGGGAGGAAGAAAGAGAGGGAGAGAAACATCAATGTGTGGTTGCCTCATGCACTTCCCCAACTGGAAACCAGGTGTGCAACCCAGGCATATGCCCTGACTGGGAATCGAACCAGGGCCTACCTTGTTCTTTTTTAAATGTTGCATTATATTCCATTGTATGAACCACTGTTTCTTTGTTCATGCCTCAACAGATGGCAATGATCTTGTTTCAAATAATTTGTTATTGCAAAGTTCTTTGTACACATCTATCTACAGATTTGTGCAATTTTTGTAGACTAGATACCTAATAATGAGATTGCTCTCTTAAGTGAACATTTTCATTCCTGAATTCATGTACCTATTTCAATTTCTTCCAACAATGTGTGACATTACTCTCATCAGCTCAAAATGTTATCACACTCGTACATTTGTTCCAAATAGGCAAAATTATTTCACATCTTTAATTTGCATTTACTAAATTATTTATGAGATAGAACATATTTACATGTATCCATTGACCATCTGTAACACTATAAGTCTTATATTTATGTTTTGTGTATGTATAACAAAAATGCTCCATTGATATTTGAGAGGACTTACAATAGAACACATATAGAACTACTGAAATGGATAAAATGAAATGTTTGGGGAGATTAAGCCTCTGTGTTATAATAAGGCACAAACCCACTTCATATATGTGCATTTCAATCAATAGCTATGGGATGCTTGCTACAAACTGGACACACCTCTAAGCCTGTGGAGGCAAAGATTAATATATGACCCTGTCCCTGAACTTGTAGTGTTTCCATATAATTAACTAAGCATTCTAACAGGAGAAATTAAAATACGAAAATGACCAGCTTGGCAGCTCCATGTAAAAAATTATAAATTTATAGTAACACTAGGATACAGAATCAGAATCTAGAGCAATGGCTGTGCTAAGGCAAAACTTCACATAAGAAAAAATGTAGAATTAGATTTTTACCATATGGGTAAATTGATCGCAGGTTAGCATTAAACACATATTAGATTTATATAATAAAAGTATGCTAAGGTTTCAGTAGGTGAAAACAAATTTAATTTCCTCAGCAGTCAGGAGAATATGCATGAAGTGTTGATGAATTGCCTCTCTCACCTCTTAAAATCTCTGCCTGCAGCTTCTCTGACGGTTTTACAAATGGCTGAGTCCATTGGGAGACTGAGTTTGGATTCTCAGATGTATTATCTCATAAAGGAGTCATAGTTTGTAATAAAATCATTCCAAATACTAAAAGAAAATGAGAGTGAGAACCATGTGTGCCATCCTCTGCAAAATTGAGAAACAAAATGCTCTCATTTTAGACACCTTATCAAATGCTCCAGAACTGAATTTAGTTCAGGATTTGACACCCAACATCTCAGGTGCCTGCACACTTGGAAAAGTGGGGCTGCCCTAATTCTGGCACACAGTAGAGGTATTTATGAGACAAAATGCAATTTCTTCCCCATGAGCTGCCCACAGATTACACAGGGTCGAGAGGCTGACCATTAGGGATAGACCTTTCTGATCACACAGGACAATAAAATTAACAGAAGAGTGAGACAGCCTGGTAAGAATCCTTCTCATCTCCCCACAGGTCAGACAGCCCTGGTCCTCTCCATGAGAAAGAGGTTTATTTTGTTGTTGTTGTTGTTGCTGTTTTTTCCTTTCAAAGAAGCCCTGAAATCATAAGGAGGCAGTGTGGACAATAAAGTCTAGAGAGGATAGGTTAGAGCAAGGAGACAGGGAGAAAGAACACCATGGAAGCATGGTCAACCAGGCGTTCTACAAGGGAGGTGTTAAATGTTATTGTTCAAGTTCCTTCCAATGATTAGAACTTTTGGCCCCATCCTAGACTGGCCTCAACACCCTGTACTCTAGCAAATCCTTTTAAGGTGGGAGAGAAAGCACGGTGTGTGCTCTAGTCAGGGCATTTCTGTGGCATCTTGAGTTAAGGTCTTGGTACTGCCTTTTTGGCTCCAAGGCACTCTCAAAACTGTTATAAGGACTAGAGCTTGCTCCAGAGCCCATTATAGATGGAAAAAAAGTCAGGCACCCTCTTTGGCCTGAGGCAAAGATTTATGTGGCTGCTTTGGTAGTCTGATCCCAGTGCAAGTCCAGTTCCAGTCTGGATCCTAACAGAGTGGGCTTTGATATATGTTGGATGCGACTCAAAATGAAACTGATTACAATTTGGAAGACCTACAAAAATGTCCTTGTAATGAATTGTATGTGACCCCCAAATATGTCCAATCCTAACCCTAGGCACCTGTGAATATGACCTTATTTGATAAAAGGGTCTTTGCAGATCCTTAATAAAGTTAAGGATCTCCTGATGAGATCATCCTGGAGGCTCTAAATTGAATGACTAATGTTCTTACAAGACACAAAGAAGAAAAGACACGAAAATACAGAGGAAAAGGCCATGTGAACATGGAGGCAGATATTGGCATGATGCATCTACAAGCAAAGGAATGCCAAGAGTTGGCAGCTGTCACCAGAAGCTAGAAAGAGGCATGGAAGTTATTCTCAGGGCCTCCAGAAGGAATCAAACCTGCAAATGCCTTTATTTCAGGCTCTGGTGTCTACAAATGTGAGGGACTAAATTTCTATTGTTCTAAGCCATCCAGTTTATGGTAATTTGTTCGAGTAGCCCCAGGCAACTAATGCACCCCACTAACCGGATCTATGGAGTTAATGTGCTCTGTACTGATAGACTGCATTGAGAGCCCTGTGAAAATCACCCTTTAGGATGCAATTAGGATACAGAGGACAGAACACAGTGTTTGGAGTGAGACAGGCCTTGTTAGTTACTGCCGTGTGTACTTGGCAAGTCTCTTTAGACTTCTGTCTCTTCATGTAAAACCGGGAAGGCAGCCTATGAGTATGGGGCAGAAGTCAGGTAGTGTAAGCCAAAAATATATTAGAGGTTATCCACCCTGGCTTCACATTAATGCCACCCGGGCAGTTTTAAAAATTATTGTTGACAAGACCTCCACTCTAAACAATTAAATCATAGTCTCTGGCACTGAGCAATGAACACCAGTCCTTTTTTTAATTCCCTGAGTACCACTTCATATCCACTACCATAGCTACTGTCAAAACAAACAAACAAACAAACAAACAAACAAACAAACTGGCAACAACAGAAAGTAAGTGTTGGCAAGGGTGTGCAGAAATTCAGAACCCTTGTGCATTGTTGGTAGGAATGCAAAACAGTATGACACTTCTTAAAACAATGACATAGAATTGCCATATGATCCAGCAATTCCACTTCTAGATATATACCCAAAATAATCAAAAAGCAGGATCTCAAACATGTATAAGTATGCCTATGTTCATAACAAGTTTATTTATAATAGCCACAAGGTGGAAACAAATCAAAGTTGGAAAAGCAATGTGGATAAGTAAATTGGGGTCTATACATAGAATGAAATGTTATTCAGCCATAAAAAGGAAGAAAATTCTGACACATGCTACAATATGGATGAATCTTGAAGACATTATGCTAAATGAAATAACACCAGGCACAAAAGAACAAATATATATTTCCACTTATATGAGGTACCTACAATAGTCAAATTCATAGAGACAAAAAGTAAAAGGGTGGTTTCCAGGAGCTGGGGAGAGGAGGGAAGAAAGTGGCCAAAGGGTGCAGACTTTAGATTGGGAAGATAAAACATTCTGTAGAGCGATGGTGGCGACTGTTGAACAACGATGCAATTTAATGCCACTAAAGTATATACTTGAAAATGTTTAAAATGGTAAATTTTACGTTATATGAGGTCTCTCCAGAACATATCCAGCCATGTAATATGAAAAATAGAGACATTTATTGAAGAAAATACAAGAGACAAGAAGCATTGCACATAGGACCATGACGCTCCAGTCCCCTTCAAAGTAGGCACCTTGGGACCTCACACAGTTCTCCCAGCATCTCGTCTACTGTGCAAAGCACTCTGCAAAATCCTTTGTTGGAATCACCATCAGTTGCCCCAATGAGTTTTCCTGAATCTCATCAATGCTCTGAAATCTCTTCCCTTTCAAAGGTGATTTTAGTTTTGGGAAAAGCCAGAAGTCACAGGGCGTCAAATCTGGGTTGTAGTGGGGCTGAGTCATCTGGGTGATTTGATGTTTTGCCAAAAAATCTCTGCACGAGACATGATGCATGAGCAGGCACACTGTCATGATGAAGCTGCCAATCACCAGTTGCCCATAGCTGTGGCCGATTTCATATTGCATCTCTCAGCCAGTGAAGAACATTGAGGTAGTAATTCTTATCAATTGTTTGGTCTGGAGGGGCGTACTCAATATCAACAATATCTTCCTGATCAAAAAACACAGTTAACATGGTCTTGATCTTGCTTCAACTTTGCTGTGC